GAGATTCATTGGGTCTTCTAAGGTGATTGGTTGGATTGGCAATTCTGCTTATCGACCATTACTACATAATTATATGTCGAACGTGTATGATGTGTTTCATGCTTCTGTTTTCAGAAAGTGGATTTCTGATGTTGAGTACAGAGTTTTTGAGAATGAGATTGAGATATAGCCTAACTTAACCTATAGAGAAGAACCAAAGTGTTTTAGTCATTGATGTGAGACAATTGAAGAGCAAGCACATCCTTGTCTTTAAAGTTCAGTGAAAGCGCCGACCAAAAATAGAAGCAGCTTGGAAAAAAGAAGTTGATATGAGGCAGTTCTATCCATATAAGTTTGATAGTTAGAAATTTGAAGGTCAAGGACGACATTTTTTCTGAGGGGAGAATGTAACGACTACTACTATAGTATAACAGTGAGCCTGTTGAGAAATAATTTTGAAATCGGTAAATCTTGCGTATTTATTTTATGTTTACTGATTTTTTTTAAGTTTTTGAGTTAATTTGATGCTCAATTTATTGATCAATTTTTCATAGTTTTGCTTCATACTTGAATTATAAAAAATCTTCGCTAGATTGTAGCGTACACTTGATTATATTTTGGGTATATTTTTACCTATTATTATGGGTATCATAAGTAAGAAATAAAAAATTCTCGTTAGAGTTTTCTTTCTTAAGGATTTGATACATCCTTATACAAATGGACTTTCTGGAACCATTTGATGTTCATTTTTTAAATTGTTTTCACCAGTGTGTTCTAGACATATTTTTCTATTTATTAACTATTTTTCCTGAATTTTAGAAGTTATATATTTCATGATGAAAATGAATTTATATAATATTTATATATAAAAATATAAGAATTAAAAAAATTGCCATTATCTCCTTTTTCTTAAAAAAAATCAAATATTTTATAAATATCATAACCCGCTTACAATGAACCATCCTCAACCGATATATATACCAGTGAACCATCCACAACTGACATATAGCAACCCTTGAAAATATATTCACAAGTTAATTTAACTTTATGGATGGATGCAAGGGGATGTGAGTCATTATATGGTGTCAATTTCATGTTCCAGTCACAAATTGCCTAAATTTAAAATCTCTGTTCAATTTCCCTTCATTGCATCAATCTTTTCTCAAACTCTAAGATCCCTATCAAGTTTGCAAATTAAGTGTTTTGGAACTGGTGAAAGATGATTTGGGATGTAACTGTCCCTCCACTAACATACTTCTGTTATTTTGTGAAATCTCATTCTTATATTAACATAACGGACCTATAATGCAAACCATGAAATTATGTCAATATAAGATTTAGGGACGTAAGAGTTATTTCTGATGTGAGCAATGAAAGCATGATTAAGGTACATAGGGGTTATGATCAAATACTCATGAAAAATTGCTTCGAAGAATATAAGAAAAATGGTTTTAACTGTTTTATAAGGATGATCAAAATTAAATAAGAAAAAGCAAATACCTGATAGAAGTTGTAAATGTGATCCAAAACTTGTAGGCGAGTAAAGCCACCATCACTGAAGAAGGCTCTTGAAGAAGGCCCAAGCTCACCAAACCGATCAACCGGGAATAGTATAGTAAGGAAATGATTCCTAAATATCACCTCACTTCTCTCACTGTACAAACAATGTGCATAAATTTAAAATTAAAAAAAGTGGCAGAGTACAAATTGTGGATATGTTTGGCTTTATGATCATGACTGCTGTAATGGAACAGGGTAAGAGTATTTCTATGTGACAGGAATAGTAACACCAATGACCTCATAAAGCCCATGGAGACAGACTCACCAAGCTTCATTGTTGCGGCCAATGAAGTGGCTTGTCAGCCAGCCAAACAACCCAGATGAATGGACAAAGCTTTACCAGCACCAGAGATGTACCACAAGAAAAAAATTATTCAAGTGCTTTGAATACCTTTCTCTTAACACACGAGAACAGGATTCAATTGATGCTTCAGAATCCCTTCCATCCCCTCGAGCATCATAAAAAACTGAATTAGCGTCATCAATCTCAGAGGATTCTGTGAAGATGCTGGCCGAGAAAGTAGGCTCTGATACTGACCAGCACACTGATTCAAGCAGGCTGTTCGGAGTGATAGGATGAAGTGGCATCTGACAAGACTGGTATTATTTGAAAAAAAAAAGAAAAA